AAACCCCCTTGCCTGACAGTAATGTAACTAGGTTTGACCCTTTATTTCTAGTTATTAGTCAACAAATATATGCATCCATATGCTCAGTGTTACATCATAGGCAACTGAAGAGCAAGTGAGGGCTGCGGAATCAAACTCACAATGTATATTGGCTACTGAACATATCCAGAAAGGTCAGCAGCAAACAGTTCATGGAGCACATGCTGACAGGAAATTTTTTCAGTCCAAAAATTTAGACCAGTTCTAATCACTAAAGCACCATAAGCATTTATAAGGCCATACTGTCCTTTACACCACTCTGGCAATGTAAAGGAGTCTTAAAACATTTACCCCTGTTTTATACTCCTGGGGGAATTCACAAAGAGAATGGGAACAATTCACTAAGCAGGCAGGCAGCTACATTCTGCTCTGCCTGAGGGGACAGAGCCTGCCCCATGCCTACCTCCTCAGAAACACCCTGAAGCCCGGCCCCTCCATGCCAAGCATGCTGCAACAGTGAGGGAGAGAGTCTCTCTCTCTCTCTCATGACTGCCCTGCCCCTCCCCCTGGTGGTGATTTATGTTTCTACCGGCTGCTTCGGGCACCCGAGCCAACCTGCCTGTGCCGCTCTTGCAGCTTCCCTTTGCTTTCCCGTCAGAAGTCATTTTTCTGCGGGGAAGTAAAGAACTCTGCAGGGAACATGAATTTGGTGCATGTGCAGTGACGCAGAATTCCCCCAGGAGAATACAGTATTAACTGGAACGGGCTGGACCCTGGGTTTCCCAGGTGAGTGCCCTGATCTCCAGGCTGTACAATCACTCTCACGCTCTGGCCCAATGACGGTTTAAGTATTTATACAAAGTAGAACTCTGACGGGTTGGATCACAGAAACCCCCTGGGAGCTGCCACCTGATGTGCCAAGACTATCTCTGCTCCTGTTTTCCCTGCCAGCTAAGGACCCCAGCACCCTGTCTTGCTGAGCCAGGCACTCCCATCTGCTCCAACAAAGACCCAGGGTCTGAATTACTTGCCCCAAAGCTGCAGGTTTACCTGAAAACAGCTCACAGAAGTGTGCTTGTCTTTAGCACTCAGATGCCCAACCCCCAATGGGGTCTAAACCCAAATAAATCCGTTTTAGCCTGTATAAAGCTTATGCAGGGTAAACTCATAAATTGTTCGCCCTCTGTAACGCAGATAGAGAGATATGCACAGTTGTTTGCTCCCCCAGGTATTAATACATACTCTGAGTTTATTTAATAAAATCACTTTTTACTTATTAATTCAGAAAGTAGGATTTAAGTGGTTCCAAGTAGTAACAGACAGAACAAAGTCACCAAGCAAAATAAAATAAAATGAGCAAATCTATGTCTAATCAAACTGAATACAGATAATCTCACCCTTAGAGATGCTTCAGTAATTTTTTTCCTCAGACTGGAGCCCTTCCAGGCCTGGGCACAATTCTTTCCCCTGGTACAGCTCTTGTTCCAGCTCAGGTGACAGCTAGGGGATTCTTCATGATGGCTCCTCTCCCCCCTTTGTTCTGTTCCACCCCTTTATATATCTTTTGCATAAGGCGAGAATCCTTTGTCTCTCTCTGGGTTTCCACCCACCCCACACTGGAAAAGCACCAGGTTAAAGATGGATTCCAGTTCATGTGACATGATCACATGTCACTGTAAGACCCCAAGCCTTCATTCCTCCCAGCCTGACTCACAGAAAGGCTTGCTTGCAAACAGAGCCCCAGTCAATTGTCCTGGTTGATGGGAGCTATTAAGATTCCAAACCACCATTAATAGCCCACACTTTGCATAATTACAATAAATACAAGAATGATACATTTATACAAATAGGATGATCACACTCATAGATTATAAGCTTTGTAATGATACCTTACAAGAGACCTTTTGCATGAAGCATATTCCAGTTACATTATATTCACTCATTACCATATTTTTATAAAAGCATATAGACTGCACAACGTCACAAGAACAACTTCAGTGAGAGAGACCCATCCCGGAATACCCTACAGCTGCCACCACCACTTCCTCCTCCTGGTTTCTTCTTGAGAAAGGGCTGACCTGGCCTTGGCACCTAACTGCAGCAGCAGGCTCACAGCTGAGACTCCCTGAGTGGAGATAAAATCCCCTTTCCTACCGGGGAAGGGATTGTGCCAGCCCTTTCCAAGACATAGCACGTGCTCCCCCCACTCCTTTAGCTAGTGCATGGTGGGGACAGAGCCACGGGGAGCTGGTACAGTGCCGAGAGCCCTGGGAATCTTGGGAGAGAGGGAAAAGGTGACAAAGCTCCTGTGTCCCCGCACTCGTCTCTTGGAGGGTGGGTTGTCTGATCTCCCCTGTAGTAAGGGCAGAGATGGACAGAAGTCTGACCAGAGGCAGAGTTAACCTTTTGGCCAACCTACAGAAATATTTATCTGTGCAGGGTGATTTATACAGAACGTGACACATTACAGGCAAAGCTGACAGCTACGCGTATAGTTACGGTGGCCAAACGCCCTCCTTTAAAAGAGCCTGTTTTCTGCGCATGGAGTAGACATTGTATCTGAGTGTGTCGTATATGCACAACTGACCTATGAGCAGCTTCTCCATTGCTGCCTACCTCCTTCCTCTTCTGGCTTCATTTTCTAATCCGGCCTCCTCCTGGAAAGCAGGGTTTCTTCGGACGTAGCAGATGGCGTCTGTCTTCAGGGCTCAGACGTGCCCCGGAATCCTTCCCAGGGATTCCTGTAACGCTGCACAGCAGCTGCTGGCATGGCTCAGCAAGGAATTGCTTATGACTTCTGAGGAGAGGCTGAGGGAACTGGGATTGTTTAGTCTGCAGAAGAGAAGAATGAGGGGGGATTTGATAGCTGCTTTCAACTACCTGAAGGGGGGTTCCAAAGAGGATGGAACTAGACTGTTCTCAGTGGTGGCCGATGACAGAACAAGGAGCAATGGTCTCAAGTTGCAGTGGGGGAGATCTAGGTTGGATATTAGGAAACATTATTTCACTAGGAGGGTGGTGAAGCACTGGAATGGGTTACCTAGGGAGGTGGTGGAGTCTCCTTCCTTAGAGGTTTTTAAGGTCAGGCTTGACAAAGCCCTGGCTGGAATGATTTAGTTTGGGTTGGTCCTGCTTTGAGCAGGGGATTGGACTAGATGACCTCCTGAGGTCCCTTCCAACCCTGATATTCTATGATTGCAGACCTGTGCGGGTTCCTTCAATGCAGGACCTAAGAGGGGCAGGGGACAGTTGGCAACATTTGGGGGGGGGAGGGGGGAAGCAAGGCCGTTATTTCAGTTACAGGGTTGCAGCTTGGTCCCTTGTGCTGGGTCATTGTAAGATGTAGGAAAGGTGTGAAATACACAAGAAACAGCCCTCGCTGGATTTAAATCTAACATACTTTGTATAGTGCATCGAAGTACCATAGGTGCAGGTCACTCCTTGTGAACAGCTTCTCATGGGCCACCTAAGGCTGTAAGTGTTGGCATTGAAATGCCCCTTAGGAGTTGTTCTACAACGTGAGTGTTTATGTAAATACTTGGCGAGTCTCTGATAAACCTGGCCCTCCAGTACTGAGAGATGCTGACACCACAAGGAGCAGCAGGGGCAAAATGCCTGGCTGGAATACTCTCTCCGCTTTTATTATTCAGGGTCCCAGACGCTCCCATGCTATGCCACCATCTCGACACGGAAGCGCACGCTGTGGGAAATGGAGCTGTATATTCTAATATGTTCTAACTGGAGACCAAGCTCTGCCGTTACGCCAGGGTAAGCAGAGAAACCCCAATGATTTCAGTGAACTCAGTGTAATTGCAATTGAGGGCGAAATTGTCCTTTAATCTATCGACAACATAGGTGCATTCGAGATAACTAATCAGAATACAGCAGTGTGAGTGGAGCTGTCTCTGATTACCAACCTTATTCCAATCTCACTTCATTAAACCTGCTCTGACACACGTCTGCCTCCTAATCGTTCTTGGGCCAAAGCCTACTCAGTGTAATCCTGATTAGCCTCGTCCTTCTCAGTGGGAGGGCTCACAAGGGCGAGGGCAGTGGGATTGGGAATCTTATCTCGTATCTTGAGACCTCCTGGAATTTCTTATAGAAACCCAAGAGCTGGGTCAGCTCGGGCATGTGTGCATGTTTATGGAAAGGAGACTCAGGATAAGGTCCAGGCCTGGGACAGCCGGTGGGGCTCACAGGCTCAGCCCCATAGAGCTGGTGTCTGATTCAACGGTGCACGAAGGCCAGAATTTTCCAAACCTATGCCGGTGAAATTGGGCAGCTCAGAGCCTCCCTGGCCACACAACGTTCTCACTCAATACCCCAATGGACCCCGGGGGCCGGTGTTCCCAAGGGCTGCCCTGGGGCACAACTTGATTGCTCTTGGAGGTCTGGTGAAAGCACCCGGGAACTCCACACATGCACCAAAGAGCCTCTGAGCCAGGCGTGCTCACTGCCCCCTCTCCCAAATTCAGACAGGCCACATGTGGCATCAACCCAGCTCTCTCCCCCCCCAGCTTCCACACAGGACAATGGGCAAGAGGAACAATTACTGATTGAAAAGTGGGGAGGAGAGGGTAAAAATGGGTGATCCCGTGGGGTTCTTACCCGCCGCAGTTGAGTCAGGTGGGTGCAGGTGTGTCCCCCCCCCCCAGCAATACACACACACTGATCTGATATGTCCAGGTCCTGCTGAAGGAGAATCTCCAGGGGGCAGGGGAATGTGGAGGATAGAGGTGGGGAATGTGGGGAGGGGGATGGGCAGGAGGAGGGGTGGGGGTGGGGAGTAGGATGGGGTGGGGTGGGGGATGGGGCAGGGGAATGTGGAGGATAGAGGTGGGGGTGGGGAGTAGGATGGGGTGGGGGTGGGCAGGAGGAGGGGGAGAGGAATGAGGGGGATGTGGGAGGGGGACCGCCAGGGGGCGCTGCCGGCGCTAGAAGACCGGGGACCGCCCCCCCTCCCCCTCCCCCCGCGCTCCCGGCTGCGCTCGCTCTGCTCCGCCCGGCAGCGGGGCCGGCCCGTGGCGAGGCGAGGCGAGGCGGCGCCGGGACTCTGCCCAGCCCGGAGCGGGAGCGGAGCTCGGCCGGGCCGGGCCCGCTGGAGAAGCCCCGCCCGGGGGGGCCATGGCCGAGCGGGCCGCTGCCCAGGTGAGGGCCCGGCGGGCGGGGGAGCCCCGGGGCTGGAGCCGGGGCCGGGCGGACAGGGGACAGGGGGCCGGGGCCGGGGCCGGGGCGCTGCACTGCGGGCAAGGCGCGCTCGGTTGGCCGGGGACGCGCTGCCGGGCCCAGGCCGGGGTTTTCCCTTCGGAACCGACCGGCCCCGGGGATTCGGTTCCGGGTCTCGGCGCGTTTCCCGCGGGGCCGCTGCGGGGCCAAGGGGCTGCGGGAGTTCCCCGGCCCGGGCAGCGCCGGTTCCCCTCCCGCCCGCGGGATCCGCACCTCGCTCGCAGCGCCAGCCCCGCGCCCACTGCTGCGGGGTCCCGGTCCGCGGGGCTCAGGCCTGCGCGGGGTGCGACCGGCCCTGGGACGTTAAACTCCTCGGGGTCCGGGCCCTGACTTTGCCTTGTAAATAACCCAGCGGGTTCCCTCTGCGCTCCAACCGGTCCTCCCCATTGTCCCTCTGAGGAGTGACTCTCCTCAGCCGCCCCTACCCTGGCATCAAGGCGTGTAGCTCCCCCGCCCTCCACGGGGCACTTGGGGGTAGGGGTGTTGTGGGCACTGGGTCATGTCTGCCAAGCGTTCCCATTGTTCGCTGTCATGGAAGGAGCCGGTCGCTTTTCTCTCATCCTCTATCTGTCTGGTCTGTTTAGGTCCTGATCCTGGAAATGCTTCCAGACTTGCATAACGTCTGCCGTGGAAGGAGTCCCCCTGACTTCAGGGAGACTGCTCACGCGTGGGGGACTACTTGGGCAGGTGTCTGCTGCATTGATTCCTTGCAACGTAAGCGCTTCACGACCCGGACTGTCTCTTACTACATATTTGTACAGGGCGCAGTACAATACCCTTATTTTCTCCCTCTGCACCTTATCTTTGGGTAATCTCATCTGCAGACACAAATCCAGCTATCCTCTCTGTGCTGATGGCACACAGACCTATCGCTTTGCTTCAGACCTGTCTCCTTCTGGCCAAACTGAACTCTTAGCCTGTCTCTCTGACATCTCCTTGTGGGTTTCTAGCTGTCAGCTTAAGCTCAACGTGGCTAAATCAGAGCTCTTAACCTTTCTCCCTTCCCCTTAGTCTTACCTGCTACCTCTTTCCTTGGTCATTGTGGACAGCACCACCATTCTGCCTGTCACTCAGGCCTGTAACCTGGGCCTCATCTTTGACTCAGATCAGTTTCTAGGTCCTCGCATCCAGGCTACGTCTAAATCTTGCTGATTCTTTTTGCACGACATCTCTAAGAGACGGGCTTTCCTGTCCAGCCACGCGGCTGAAAAGCTCATCCAAGTTCTCATCTGCTCACCGCTCAGTTACTGCCACCTCCTTCCCCCAGCCTTGGCAAATGCAGTCTTGCCCGGCTTGTGTCCATTCAGCATGGTGCTGCCAGGATCACTTTCATAGCTCGTTGCTTTGAACATGTCATTCCCTGCTTTGAATCCTTCCACAGGCTCATAAGAACGGCCACACTGGGTCAAACCAGAGGTCATTCTAGCTCAGTATCCTGTCTTCTGACAGTGGCCAAAACCAAGTGCGCCAGAAGGAAAGAACAGAACAGGTAATCATCAAGTGACCCAGCTTCTGGCAAACAGGCTAGGGACACCATCCCTGTCCATCCTGGCTAATAGCCATTGATGGACCTATCCTCCATGAACTTGTCTAGTTCCATTTTGAACCCTGTTATAGTCTTGGCCTTCACAACATCCTCTGGCAAGGAGTTTGTCAGGTTGGCTGTGCATCGTGTGAAAAAATACTTCCTTTTGTTTGTTTTAAACCTGCTGCCTATTCATTCCCTCTTCTCCAGCTCAACAAACAAAAGCTACTGACCTTCACTTTCAAGGGTCTTGACAGCCTAGCCCCATCCTCCCCATCTGGTTAGATTTTCAAACATGTCGCCTATGTGCTTTCTCCCCTGCTGCCCCTCATGCTTGGGAGAGCACCCCCCTGCCCCCCAACATCCACTAAGCTACCAGGCCTCCAAAAAACTTCACCGTGATTAGGCGGCAGGTGTGCAGAGCCCACTGCCTACCATGCTGACCAGGACTGTCTCGTTGTTTCCTTGTACTCCCCCATGTCTCTGTCTGTCTCCATCTGTTGTCTCTTGTCTTATACTTCAGACTGTGAACTCTTTGGGGCATAGCACAACGGGGTCCTGGTCCGTAACTGGGGCTCTTCAACGCTACAGGAATATCACTAACAATGGGGCCTTGACTGTGGCAGGGGCCTCTAGGCGTTCTTGGAATACTGATCCCGGCAGTGGACAAATGTGTGTGGAATATCCTGAGTAAAAATATGTGGGGGATGATGCGTTGGGTTGGGCCGGTAGAAAACAAGCACCAAGCTTCTGATGAGCTAAATTCTTCTTCACTGTGTAGGATTTGGGTGTTAAGGACTTGGGTCTGGTCTACACGGGAGAGATTTTGGGCTTTGTTTTGTTTTTTTGTATAAGCTAAGGTAGGAATTTAAACCAGCCTAGTTATGTTGCTTGGGAAGGAGATAATAGACTAGTCTCTTGTGGGCTGTATTACTCTGGGCAAATTTTGCGTTATGGGTTTAGTGTGAGGGAGCTGGCTGGGGTTGGTGAGCTGTGACAGGCTAAATGGTTTGGTGGGCGCTTCTGGCCTTAAACGCTCTGACTCTAAACTGGGAACAGGTGCTGTTACACCCGAATGAGGGTGTAAGGTGTTATACCGGTGTGCCTATACCAGTATAACTGGTCAAACTTTCCCGTGTGGACAAGGCCTCAGACCTTTTTTTTTTTTGCTGCTTACCTCTGAGCTGCGTGCAAAGATAATCTTTATCTCGCATTTGAGCGTTGTGTGTAAGGGTTATCAGTTTTGAAAAGACAGCCTAGATTCTGACCGTCACTGTGATTCTTCATTTTAAAATAGATCCTTTCTGCTGTACAGTTTTATATCATTCCTCTAGTGTCTGACACTGTTTTAAAGATGACACCACCTCCGTTGCTTGTACGTTGTTCCTGTGGCACTCTCATGAGAGGTCATGTCAGTGACAAAACTTTGTCAGGCATCATTGCCATTCAGTAGCTTAGGCTGTGAATGAAATGAACTAGAATTGCATGCCTGACTTGCAGCAAAGGATCATAGTCTGCGGGAATGAAAGTGACACTTATTCATGTGAGTAACTTTACATGTCTGAATAGTTCCTGGGAATTTGAGGGACCCCTCAGTGCGTAAGTGTCAAAAGTGTGGATAAAGATATTCAATGAAAAACGCAGAGCTGCTAACGCTGTGGTTCCCAGGACACCAGTCAGGATCTGCTGGTTGGCAGGAGAGCACTATAGATTCCTGTATGACCAGAATCCACTGGGTTGTGACTGCCAGTGGAGAGCTACATTACACTAGCTTCTTCCAAATAAATGAACTTGGCATTTTGAATGGAAAATGATCAAGCCACCAGCAGGCAGAGAGTTTGTCTGCCTCCAAAACTGCTTTTAAAACCACTTTTTATTTGTACCGTATGTACACACGCTTGTGTTTCACTGAAATTGTTTGTAGCATCTCTCATGCAGCAGCTATAGCAATAGGAATTTACACAACACGGCATCTGCAAACTTCCAGGGGACATCGACTTAAAATCACTAATAGTGTTACAAATAACAGCGAAAAAGACTATAACAGAAGGAAATTAGAGGAAAATTATAGGTTCTTTTCTTTGTTTATTTACACTGGGCATTTGACATCCCTTCGTGTAGGTGTTTTCACTCTGGGTCTTTCACACAGCAACAGGGACGAGAAACATTTAACAGACATTAGGAGTGTGTGATCATTGAAACTAGCAGGCTAACGAAAGGGCAGTTGTAAGAGCTGACGCTAGTCTTAACTCTCACTGTAGAAACTGACTCGACTGCAAGCTGAGGCAGCCCTTAGACCTCCCCTGTGTGGGTATAAAGTTCTGTCTAGGATGCCTGACGCTCTGCAGACAAACTCCGCTTCAGACCGTCACCACACTAATTTAAGAAGACAATAGCTGGGTAGCTATTATTCATGGCACATGTCAGCCCAGGGCAGCTGAACCTTTTATGAGCCTCATTTCAAGGAGTTTATCATTCTAAGAAAGATGTCAAAAGAGCTCATTCCTCGCATCAGGACAGCGCCGCCGTCGGAGTAAAGATCGCATAGTGCTGAGGAGTCTGCAGCATGTGAACGGCTCTCGTGCAGATTCTCTGTCTCTGACTCTAGCTCCATTTCCCTTCTCTCCCCTTGCAAACAGGCTCAGGAGTGGGATGCAGAGTCGCAGCGCCTGATGTCTTCCCAGCCTGAACGAACGTCGGTGCAAACAGCAGAGATTTCGATGTGGACCCTAGTGGCTGCCATTCAAGCTGTGGAGAGGAAGGTGGATTCGTTTGCCACACGGTTGCTGAGTCTGGAGGGGAGAACTGGGACAGCTGAGAAGAAAATATTCGAGTGTGAGAAAACCGAGTTGGAGTTCGGGAACCAGCTGGAGAGTAAGTGGACTGTGCTGGGAACTCTGATGCAGGAGTACGGGCTGCTGCAGAGGAGGCTGGAGAACATGGAGAACCTGCTGAAGAACAGGAACTTCTGGATCCTGAGACTCCCCCCTGGTATTAATGGAGAAGTCCCCAAGGTAATCGTACCCTGGCTAGTACAGGAAGTAAAGGCTGAGCCTGTATTGGGTAACAAAGGGATTTTTCTAGGGCTGTCAAAAGGTTTAAAAAAAAAATGCGATTAATCGCCGTTTTATTCGCACTGTTAATAATAGAATACCACTTATTTAAATATTTTTGGATGTTTTCTACCTTTTCAAATATATTGATTTCAGTTACAACACAGAATACAGAGTGTACAGTGCTCACTTGATATTTTTATTACAAATATTTGCACTGTAAAAAGATCAAGAAAAGAAATAGTATTTTTCAATTCACCTCATACAAGTACTGTAGAGCAGTCTATCGTGAAAGTGCAACTTACAAATGTAGAATTTATTTTTTTTACATAACTGCACTCAAAAACAAAACAATGTAAAACTTTAGAGCCTATAAGTCCACTCAGTCCTACTTCTTGTTCAGCCAGTCGCTAAAACTAACAAATGTGTTTACATTGACGGGAGATAATGCTGCTCGCTTATTTACAATGTCACCTGAAAGCGAGAACAGGCATTTGCATGGCATTTTTGTAGCCGGCGTCGCAAGGTATTCACGTGCCCGATGCGCTAAACATTTGTATGCCCCTTCATGTTTCAGCCACCATTCTAGAGGACATGCTTCCATGCTGATGACGCTCGTTAAGAAAATGTGTTAATTAAATTTGTGACTCAACTCCTTGGGGGAGAATTGTATATCTCCTGCTCTGTGGTTTTACCCACATTCTGCCATATATTTTGTGTTATGGCAGTCTCAGATGACGACCCAGCACATGTTGTTTGATTTAAGAACACTTTTTCACTGCAGATTTGGCAAAATGCAAAGAAGGTACCAATGTGAGATTTCTAAAGATAGCTACAGCACTCGACCCAAGGTTTAAAAATCTGAAGTGCCTTCCAAAATCTGAGAGGAACGAGGTGTGGAACGCGCTGTCAGAAGTCTTAAAAGAGCAACCCTCCAATTTGGAAACTACAGAACCTGAACTACCTTCTGCTGGTGGCATTTGACTCAGATAATGAAAATGAACGTGCGTCAATCCCAAGCAGTGCGGACTGTTATCGAGCAGAACCTGTCATCAGCATGGAAGCATGTCCTCTGGAATGGTGGCTGAAGCATGAAGGAGCATACAAATATTTAGCATATCTGGCACGTAAATACCTTGCAACGCTGGCGACAAAAGTGCCATGCGAATGCCTGTTCTCACTTTCTGGTGACATTGTAAATAAGCAAGCAGCATTATCTCCCGTAAATGTAAACACATTTGTTAGTCTTAGCGATTGGCTGAACAAGAAGTAGGACTGAGTGGACTTGTGGGTGCTAAAGTTTTACATTGTTTTGTTTTTGAGTGCAGTTATGTAAAAAAAAATTCTACTTTTGTAAGTTGTACTTTCATGATAAAGTGATTGAACTACAGTACCTATACGAGGTGAATTGAAAAATACTATATTTTCTTTCTTTTTTACAGTGCAAATATTTGTAATAAAATATAAAGTGAGCACTCTGCACTTTGTATTCAGTGTTGTAATTCAAATCAATGTCTTTGAAAATGTAGAAAAACATCCAAAAATGTATATAATAAATTTCAGTTGGTATTCTATTGCTGTTTAACAGTATGATTAAAACTGTGATTACTTTAGATAAATTTTTTTAACCAGGTTAATTTTTTTTTAGTTAATCACTTGAGTTAACTGTGATTAATTGATAGTCCTAGATTTTTCATATCTCTGATCCAGAGGCCCTTTAATTCCCCATTGCAAAAGTTTGAATAGAGGCAGTGCCTTGATTAGCCACTGCGTTAGCTAGTCACATTAGGTCTGGAGGGTTCATTGGATAGTTGCCTAGAACTCGTCCCTGTACCGTCCATTTGGGGCTCTTATCAGGAGAATCCCCACTCTCACTGCAGCCCTCTTGTGCTGGCTGTTGGGGCGAGTTTATCTTCTCTGGGGATAAACTTGAGCATGCAGTAGCACCCCTAACCTCCAGGCCAGCCGAGAATCCCTGTTCAGAGAGGAGAGAAGCACTTACGCTCCCTCTTGTGCCAGGAGCTGTGCTGCTCCGAGGGAAGGGTAAGTTACTAAGATCAGCTGTTGGTAGTGTGCTGGTAGCAATGCCTCAGGTCACAGTTGTTCCTCCAGGAGACTGTCTTCTCTGCCCACACTCCCTCCCCAACCTAGGATCCAGTCCCTCCCAGTGACCCTGCCTGAGTTCGTCTAGCTCTTGTGGCTTTGAAAGACGTCGAATCGGGTATGTCCGGACTCATTTTCCCTCGTTCCCTGTACTGAGGCCTGTCTGTACAGCCAGAGGCAGATGTTTTGTTTTTTGCAGTTTATCTCTGAACTGTGATCCCCTAAAGGGTCTCTAGAAGACTTTGGGATAGCTCAGTGGTTTGAGAATTGGTCTGCTAAACCCAGGGTTATGAGTTCAATCCTTGAGGGGGCCATTTAGGGATCTGGGGCAAAAATCTGTCTGGGGGTTGGTCTTGCTTTGAGCAGGGGGTTGGACTAGATACCTCCTGAGGTCCCTTCCAACCCTGATATTCTATGGTCTCTCTCTGTGGTCTCATTCTATGACATACAGAGACTGACTAACTTCTCAAATAAAGATATGTCAAAGGTGCCCGGTGTTCTGCTGGTCAGACCTGCGGTAGTCCTTCCTCATCCAAAGCTAGGGGAATTCATTTTTAATGAACACTAACAGTGAGTCCCTTTTCCTTACCATCCCTCTGACACTGATGATGTCGTCTCTGGCTTCTCCTCCTTTCATAATTCATTCCTACACCAAGCTAAATAATCCCTCTTCTGCTCCCAGTGTTTCGACTTGGATTGTTGTGATTTACAGCAGCGTATCCCGGTTCTCGTATTAGCACCCATTGTGTAATGTCCGAGTGCGGTGTGCAGATGTCGTCAAAAGTGTTTCCAATATGCTTTTAATCACTCGAAACTCAGCACCTTATTGTGCTACAAAGCAGCTTTAACAGTCTGCAATGCAACTGGAGACGAATTGGTTATTTTCCACAAAACAAGGCATACTTTTCCACTGCCTTGGAGTAAAGCTGGAGTAACTCGATGGTGTTGCTCTAGATTCACACCAGTGCAAAAGATCTGAATCTGGCCCTGTATCTTTCTGACCATAAACTTTAAAATATCTAAGAAAAATACTTGTTAAAGGGGAAGAAATGCTGCTCCATGTTTGGTGCAGCCGGAATGGTATCGAGTGATGGTATTAAATGGGACCCTTCTGGCTTTTGTTAGTCTCGTTGTAACTCAGCTTTCGTTCTGTGGCATTGCAATACAAACCGTATTCCTTTGCTTCTCCCCGTCAGGGAATTCTATCCCCTTTTGTTTTCATTTGTTGCATCGTTTTACTATTGTTCTTTCAAATATAATGAACATTAAATTGTAACATAAACAGTGTGTTTAAAAAATGCCCATCTTCTGCATTAAATCGAGTTGCCTTTTTTAGGCACTCCCTGTCTATTTTATATATTAGTGACACAAGTATAAGAGATGAGTTAAAGCAAAGAGCTAAGTGAATGTCTGATGTCAGGTGCCGGTGATGTTTGATGACAGCGCCGTCTTCTCCCAGGAGGAGTGGGAGAACTTAGAAGACTGGCAGAAGGAGCTGTACAAGAATGTGATGAAGGGGAATTATGAATATATGATCTCACTGGGTAAGGAACGTTTTTCACTGATTTATTAGAAAATGCTTGACTTCTGGAGTGTTGGCTTGACTCCACCAGCTGAGGGCTGTTCTTAAACTCCTGTGAGTTCTGCCTGCATGCATTCAGTTTTGTCATGACAGAAAGCCGATGCGCAGCGTGGTGGCGGTGGTCAGTGTTCGGTGCTCTCGAGATGTGAATAGCGGTTGTATTTACTCATAGGCTCAGCCCTTGTATAGGTCTGTCTCATCTTACGCGGGGTTCTGTTCCGCGGTTAGCGCGTAAAGCGAAAACCGCATATAGCCAAAACCCCATTGAGTTCAATGGCGGGCGAAATTGCCCGCGCTACAGGTATAGTATTAAAACTGTTGTGTTTCTCTTTTGTCTGTTTTTGTTTTTGCCGACCGCTTAAAGTTGAAATCGCACATGTTAAATGCGCGTAAGATAAGACAGACCTGTATGTGGAAAACCTTTTGTGTTCTGTGGGCCTGATTTTGATCTTGCGCTGTCTTGATCACTAGTATAACTCCTGTTGGCATCGATGCACTCACTCACCTGTAACTTACGTGTGCGCATGAGAGATGCGAATCGGATGCTGTGTGTGGTGTGGTAAATTCTGCTGCATAAAGGGTGTGTCATAGAGAAGCAGTGCAAGTAACCGATGTCCCTGCGTAAGGGAATTATGGTGGTGGGACTAAACTCAGAACTGGAACTCGAGACCTGGGTTCTGGTCTCAGCTGTGCCACAGACCCTGTGTGACCTTGGGCATGTCACTTGCTCTCTTTCCTTCTTCGTGCAATGCAGTGGCAATACTCCTCTGGCTTCCGGGTGGCTGAGATTCATCCGCTCTTTGTGAAGTGCTTCGACATCCCACATAGGAGGCGCTATGCGGGGGTTGCTTTTTACTCAGGTTACAGATCGCCTCCAGGGATAGAAGGGGATTGATTTAAAATAAGTCACAATTCTTTGCTATAAGTTATCTGTTTATTAATAGCCACTATGTCCTCTCCCATAAACAGACTATGCAATTTCCAAACCTGACATCCTGTCCCGAATTGAGCGAGGAGAAGAGCCGTGTGCAAGGGGTCAGCAGGAGTCGGAGGAAAGAGAAACCAGTGCAGATCCCAGCCCAGGTGAGGGTTGGCTGAAATCGACTCAAACAGCAGGTGAAGCGAGCAGCTGTAACTTCAACAAGCCTCCATCTGCCATTAGAGCTGCTTGCTTTAAAAAAAAAAATCAGTAGTTTTCTTATGTCAGTTTTTGTCTCTACCAATCAAAACTATTTCTGGCTCTTGTCCCGCCTCGTTGAGTGTGCGGACTGGTCAGTGCACTTAACCACTTGGTTTGTTTCCGCTAGATCCTCTTTAGCAAGGCTGGTTTCTAGTCAGTGACTGCCTGCTCCAGAGCCGGAGGTTTTGGGGGCTTGGGATCATTTTGAAAGGTTTATGGAACAATTTTCAAAAGGAGTGAGGGCTGCATTAGCAGTAGGACTTGGCTCGGATGCATGTGTGGTCTTTGCTATCCAGTTACACCCGGGAGGCACAAGCTATTTATTTCAGATCGGGCAGTGATGGTTAGAAAACCCTCACTGAGTTCTCTTTTCAATGAACAGTGTCTGCGATGTCTGCCCTCGAAATCTGCGCTCAGATTAAACAAGAGGAAGAGCCAATGGCTGAGGAGCAGCAGGATGCAGAAGAAAGAGAAGCCCCTACAGAGCCCGTGGCAGGTGTGTGATAGGCTCCGGTGACTCTGAATCCTGGCAGTCTAGTTTAAAAGCAGGAGCGTGAACCAAAGCTTTATACTTCTAAAGCTCTTCTTCTATAGTCCAGCGTGAGCAGCATTATCTCTGTGACAGGCCTCAGTCGCAGCAGGAAGAAGAATGCTGCATACCCCACAGGGCAGTTTATCCCTCCGAACAGTCAGGTGGGACACGTTAGCAGGACTGCTTTGGGGGCGGGAGTGAGACCACCTGTGGGACTTTGCTGTGCTGATAACCCCCTGGGCTGCTCCGATGCTGTCCCGGAGGGGAGCATTGTAGAAATGCCTGGATAGATTGACCGGAAGGGATCAGGGACAAGAAATGTTCTCCCTTAGGCTCTCTTGCCTGGTGACTCTTGCTCCAAGTGGCACTGAGGTGCTGGAGCAACTTCTTCTTCTCTCAAGTGCATGCCCGTGGGATCAATGGGAGCTGCATGGGCGCAGTCGAGTGCAGAACTTGGCCCATTGTGAAGTTCCTGTTTCGTTTCTCCCCGTGTAGGAGTTTAGGGAGAAATCTCTCAGGAATGAGTCCAGATAGAATCAGTCGTTTCCTTACTTGCCTGTGTGGCAGGGAGGGTTTGTATCCAAAGACATGCCAGCATTCTTTGCATCTCGAACTATTCATCTCCCTTCGGTGGCTCCATCCCTGTAGTATGAGAGTCCTGCAGGGTCTTCATTATTATTGTTGTTAATTATTTGTATTACTGTGGCTCCTAAGAGCCCTAGTCCTGGATCGGGACCCCACTGTGCTAGACGCTGTACAGGCACAGAACAAAAAGACGGTCCCTGCCCCGAGGGACTTACAATTTAAGCGTAAGACGAGACAACACGTGGGTACAAACAGATGGGGGAGGACAGGAGAACAAGGGGCAATATTGGTCCGTATGACAGGCCGTGCAGCCTGTGTGTCAGAGGCTATGTGGGGTCATGGCGAAGGAGAGGTTTGCGGAGGAATTTGAAGATGAATGACGAGGAAGTTTTGGAGCGGCTTATGGAGAGCACCTCCCAAGCTGTGTCTTTATCCTCCCCATGGCCCTGGGCGGTAGAGGGATTGCTGTCCCCCACTAGCAGATGGGAAGTGAGGCAGAGAGAGGCTGTGTTCTGCCCTGGGCCTGTGGCAGAGATGGACCCTAGTGCTGTAACCAGAGGCCCAGCCTTCCCCTCATTTGGTCTCTGATGCATGGCCAGAGAGTTGATTCCCCATACCCTTTATGCAGCATAGTTTCATTTCTCCCAGGCTGTCCTGTGAATTACGTTTGCCTTCCCTCCCTGTTCCAGCCGACGCCTGGCTCGCCAGCCACGAGAAGAACAAGGAGCAAGATTCGCAGGAGCTGGAGCCGCACTGGACTGCGGCCCAAAGACCGGAAGAGAATATTTACCATAGCGCCGAGCACGGCCCGCCCTCCAACGGGCCAAACGTGACCCTGGCAGTGCATATGCCAGAGAAACCCACCCAGCACGAGAGAGACTTCAGCCCCTTGAAAGCCAGCACCGTGTGCCCGGGGGCTCCCGCGACGGAGCGGCCCTACCTCTGCCCCGAGTGCGGGAAGTGCTTCAGCCGCAGGGAGCACTTCGTGCAGCACCAGCGCACCCACACGGGCGAGCGCTCCTACGTGTGCCCCGAGTGCGGCAAGGGCTTCACGCAGCAGTCCAACCTCACCAACCACTACCGCACCCACACGGGCGAGCGCACCCACGTGTGCCCCGAGTGCGGCAAGGGCTTCATCCACCAGTCCACGCTCACCACCCACCTCCGCACCCACACCGGCGAGAAGCCCTACCAGTGCAGCGTCTGCGCCAAGTGCTTCAGCCGCCTCTCCACCCTGCTGGAGCACCAGCGCACCCACACCGGCGAGAAGCCCTACAAGTGCCTGGAGTGCGAGAAGCGCTTCAGCCGCCTCTCCACGCTGGTGGAGCACCGGCGCACACACACCGGCGAGAAGCCCTACAAGTGCGCCCAGTGCGAGAAGAGCTTCACCCGTCTCACCAACCTGACCGTGCACCAGAACACCCACGCCGGTGAGCGTGCCTACAAGTGCACCCAGTGCGGCAAGAGCTTCGCTCAGAAGCCCTACTTCCTCAAGCACCTGCGCAACCACACCAAGGAGAAGCTCTACAAGTGCCTGGAGTGCGGCAAGAGCTTCGTCTGCCACTCCTGGCTGGTGCGCCACCAGATGATCCACACGGGCGAGCGGCCCTACCAGTGCGGCGAGTGCGGGAAGAGCTTTGTGCAGAAGGAGCACCTCTTGAAGCACCAGCGCGTCCACACGGGCGAGCGGCCCTTCCAGTGCTCCGCCTGCGCCAAGAGCTTCCGCTGCCAGCAGTCCCTGAGGCTGCACCAGTGCGCGCACGCCGGCCAGCAGGGCAGTGCGCCGGCCGCGTCTGGGGCCGAGTTCAAGAGCCAGCTGCTGTACCTGAAAATGGAAAATACCGGCTAGTAGAGGGGCGAACCCTGCGTTGGGAGCTGCACGGGGAGAGCCTCCCCCAGAGACTAGCCAGATCCGCCCCATGTGAAACAATGCAGTGAATCCCACGCCCTCTCTGCATGCCAGATGGGAGGGGAGCGCTGGACGCGAGGGGCGGTGACGCAAGACCGTATTGAATGTGAGCTGCAAGCAGCCGTTACGTGCCGTGCCCGGGGAAGAGAACCCGCGACGGACTGGACAATGCATTGGAAGCGTCCAAGTGGCCGCAGCTGTTTTGTACCAACAGTCTCCTGACCGCTGGCACTGCCGGCGAGTATGTCGCCAGCAGGCTCTGCTCTGCGGGGATGGCGCAGCGCAGGCCTACGAGCGGCTGTAACGTGAACGACTTCCTGCCACGACTGAAGAAGTGGAGCACAGGCTGTTGGGAGTGAGTGTCAGCACGTCGGCAGGAGTGCTGGGTTAACAGTACTTTGTCCTCCAGGGTGCTACAAATGCGCTCTGCTTGCCCGCGCTGGGCAGCTTCCCACAGTCAGTACGGCTGGGGCCTCAGAGCTGCGGTGAGGCTGAGAAGTGCCTGCAGTTGCACTGCAAGCCAGGGGCAGAGCCAGGCCTACACTACAGGCCCCCTATGCTCTTACCACTCGGCCTCACCACCTTCAGCCCTCCTGAAATGGAAGCTGAGCTCCACCCTGGCGGATGAGAGGAGGAATGCAGCGTCCGGCTCGCTTGCCAGTCCGGGGAAGCGATTGGCAAACTGGAAGCAGTGATTTCTGTTCTGTTGGTGACTGGTTCTATTTGTGACACTCCTGCTTCCCACTGCAGCTGGTGGTGGGGGTGGTACCCTCAAATACCCTGGAGCAGGAGCAAAAAATAAAGTTAAGCTGGGTGCAGGGTGGTCAAAGCGTGCGTGTCCGTGAGGTGTGATGATCTGCCGCAGGAAGGCAGACTCGGAGGATTTCCCTTTAAAGGTCAAAACACGTAATTCAGAAGTTAAAAGGGCTGGGGGGGAATTGGAGCCAAGCTCAATTCCGCTGAATGTTGCCCGACCTAGGAGTCGTGTGGGTGCTCGTGAGACCTCTCCAGAGCAGGCATTGCGTCTGCCACAGCAGCGCTAACGACAATGGAGCGTCAGGTTGGGGGTTTGGTCCTCCCCTGCTCATCACACTGCAGTTCTGCTCCGGTTAGGAGCTATTTACCTTCCCAATAGCCGCCTGCAGGCCTCCCGCAAATGAGACCTGCAGCCGCAAGCTTTCAGGCCTGTCTACACAGCTGGGTTTTGTTTGTTTTTGGGGCCTCGGCTCCCTGAGGAGATGACAGGTACCAGTTCCCTGCAGAGCAGCTGTGATCAGACCTGTGTTTGCAGGTGTACCGCTGGGCCCAGCTGGGGTTGTATCGGTGCAGTCGGAGCTGCTCTTCTGTAGTGCTTCAGCAGGAGCAGAGCACCCAGCGCACAGGCTGTTACGAACCGTGCGCAAAGGGACAGATAAGGCAGAAAATATCCAAATGACACGCTACAAATCCAGGGTGCACCCACCCCTTGAATACGGTGTGCAGTCCTGGCCACTGCATCTCAGAAAAGATGAATTAGAATTGGAAAAGATACAAAATGATTAGGGGTCTGGAACGGCTTCCAGCTGAGGAGAGATTAAAAAGACTGGGACTCGTCAGCTTGGAAAAGAGACGACTAAGGAGGGATATAATAGAGGCCTATAAAAGGTGGAGAAAGTGAATAAGGAAGTGTTATTTACTCCTTCCCATAACACAAGGGTTATTCATAGCAGACTGTGTGCCCTTATTGACTGGCCTCTACTGGGTAAAAGCAATATCCCCCCGAGGGCCCAGCAGGAAAAGGCACAAAGGCGGATTAAATCAGATCTTAAAGCATCTGCTGCTGCAAGGTGCTTTTCTACCACTCGCAAACTGAACTCCCTTGGCTCCGCAGAGCTGGTAGCCTGTATCTGCATTTCAGAGCCGATGCTGCCGTAGACCTGGGGTGTAGACAGTGTAGACCACCGGAAGCTGGTACAGCAACACCAGCCTGAATGCTGTTAGTTTCAGCAACAGCAGCCCCTTTTTGTCAGTCCAGCTGCCTCTACCCTGGGGTTTGGCTGGGCAGGGGGGTGCCGTTCACAGCTGTGCTGATACGTTTTAAGTGTAGATGGATTCCTGTGGCACCAGCACTTGGCTGAATTCATCCAGGGTGGGAAGAACCTCTTAACGCTTCCCCCTTTCCCATTTACTGATGATGGAACTGCTGTGGGAGGAGACGTGCATTCCCCCTCTCACACTCAGGCCTGCTATCACCCTCATGTTCCAATGGCTGGTGGCGGCCGGACACACTGACAACAGGCCGAACCACTCACCCAACTGCTCACAGGAGGCCCAGACCCCCCGGTGCAGTCTTCAATAGTGGCAGTGGTGGCTGGGGAGGGGGAAGTGCGCCCCAGGCAGTACTCTCGGGGGAGGGGGAAGGTATGAAGATGGGCAATCACTCGTTACGGAGTATGATCGTCTTCCATGGGCGTTATGGCTCAGGTGGCTAATAAGGCCAATCCTTGAACCATGTGTGCTATTGCAATGAGGGCAGATGTTTCCAGGCTCAGCAGGGGGCTGTTGAACACGACTGGAAGCCAGTCTCTCCTTCCTCCTGCGTCTCTTGTCCTCTTCGGCTTGTCGGCGAGCAAGTTCAGAACGCAGGGGACCGGCACGTAGGACTTCACTCCGTTTTAAGCGATCCTGGGCAAGTGTCAATGTCAATATTTTACACTCTTTTTAGGTTGTCCTTATAACGCTTCTGACATAAATTGTAATAGTGGAGGGGGAAGGTATAAACCTGGCATGGTACATCAGCCCCCCCCCAGGGCACAGAGATGCACATTGCTGGCCTGCACCGAATGGAGCCCATATGATATAAAATCCTGAATGGTGTGGAGAAAATGAATGAAGTGTTATTTATCCATTCACGTAACACAAGCACCAGAGGTCACCGGATGAAATGAATAGGCAGCAGGTTTAAAACAAATGAAAGGAAGTATTTCTTCACACAACGCACAGTCAACCTGTGGAACTCATTGCCAGGGGATGTTATGAGGGCCAAAAGTATAAGGGTTCAAAGAATAATTAGATATGTTCATGGAAGATAGGTCCATGACTGGCTATTAGCCAAAATGGTCAGGGGTGCAACTCTGGGTGTCCCTAAGCCTCTGACTGCCAGAAGCTGGGACTGGATGACAGGGGCTGGGTCCCTCAATCGTTGCCCTGTTCTGATCATGCCCTGTGAAGCACCTGGCACTGGCCACTGTCAGAGACAGGCTATTGGGCTAGATGGACCATTGGTCTGACCCAGTCTGGCTGTTCTTATGAGATATGAGGCTGCTGGTGGCCAATCCCTCCATCTCCTGGGGGCAGGAGGACGTGGCTTTCTCTCTAGAAAACTTGTCTGCAGAGCCTCTGCCCCTAGTAGGCTCCACTCTCACTAGCTCACTGATCTCTCTCTGTCCTGGGTCTGGGTTTCTCAGGGCAGCACCACCCCTTCCTGGACAGCGGCGCTAGCAGCACCTCCTTGCTTGGACCCATCTGGCCCCAACACGTCCTCTGCCTCCCCAGGGGTGTTGCCCTAAAGTGGCGGCTCCTAAGTCTTTTTAGCCGGCTTTGTTCCAGCTGAGACTCAGTCAGTGGAAGGTCCCACATTTATCCACAAAGCAGGTGCAAAGCCTCCCCCACCCTGCCCAGTGCAGGCGTGTCCCCTCCCCAAGGGGTGCTCAGACTGGCCTCTGCTGCAAGGTGTGAGGGCAGCTTTGTGAGGTGGCCCGGGGAGCCAGCTGTGCGTGGCTCAGGATACAGCATCCAGGTAGGCAAGGGGCTGCCGGGACAGAGACATGGACTTTTACCTCCCCCACCCAAAGCAGCACACGGGCTGGGAGGCGGCTCAGGGAAACCAGCGCCTGGCTCCATGTCCATATGAACAACATGGGGTCGGTGGGGCTGGAAGACACCGTCAGACCCCCCCCGCCCCCGCCCCCATCCCCATGCCCCTCCCAGCTTGTTTGATGGTCTCAGCCCCATAACTAGACTTCCCAGCCTCCCCAAACCCTAACCCACTGATAGTCTTTCATGTACATTAACAAAAGTAACTGGTCTCAAAACACATCAGCCTTCCGGTAAAGGTCTTTAATGTAGCATCTGCTATTTACAATGATTACATGTTATTTACCTGGGTCAAGTCCCACTTCAGTTAAATACACTTTCCGAAAGCAGCGTGGCCTGGAGGAGTGAGTGCACGTCTGGGTGCTCATCATGGCTCTGCCACTGACTCACTGCATGGTCTTTGCCAAGTCACTTTCCCTGCCTGTGAGGTAGGTAGGTCAGTCCTGACCCCCTGTCTTACAGGGGTGCTGCGAGGATTCATGAAGGACTGGCCAGTGCTTTGGCACTCTGTAAACGCCAGCTGCTGTTATAGAGTATATGGGCCTGTCATGTAATGTATTGCTGTATTTCTGGGGAGGAAACAGCCTGTAAATTGCCTCCTCCCCACTGCCAGCCCACTGGGTTACTGCCTGCTTTCAGCCTTTCCCCTGAGGGGGCTGCCTCCGTCCCCTGCCTGTGGCGGGGTGAACCCCCGGAGGGAGAGTGGCTCTTCTGATGGTTGTTCAGCGACTGCCTGTGCCGGAAGCTTTTGTTGCACTTGGTGCACTGGAAGGGCCTCTCCTGGGTGTGCATTCGCTGGTGCTGCTCCAGGGACGTCTTCTGAGTGAAGCTCTCCATGCATTCGATGCAGGGATAGAGTCTCTCCCCCGCCGGGTTTGCCTGGGGAGCTGGGGCGGGGACGCCATCCCCCCACCTCCCCCATTGCTGCGGCCTCGGCCCCCCGTGGACACGCAGGTGCTTCTGGAGATGGTGTTTCTGGATGAAGCTCTTGCCGCACAGGGCGCAGTGGTAGGGCCGCTCACCCGTGTGGATCCGGTAGTGCTTGTTGAGGTTGGACTTCTCGTTGAAGGTCTTCTCGCAGGCCGGGCACGGAAAGGGCCGCTCGCCCGTGTGCAGCCGCTTGTGATCCGCAAGGTGCCGCTTCTGCAGGAAGCTCTTTGGGCACTCGGGGCACTTGTACCGGCGCTCCCCGTCGTGCAGCCGCTGGCGCCGCGTGAGCTCCAGGTGGCAGCCAAAGTTCTTCCCACAGGCGGTACAAATGAAGGACCCGTCGCTCTCCCCCACGTGGGTTCGCTGGTGTGTTAGAAGGCTCCTCTTCAGCCGAAAGCTTCGCCGACACTCGGCACAGACGTAAGTCCCCTGTCCGGCATGAGACAGCTGGTGCTTCCGGAGGCTGGGCTGGAGGCAGACGCTTTTCAGGCATTCAGCGGAGTTATAGGGTTTTTCTCCTGTCAGGATTCTCTGGGGCAGGGGAGGCAGCTGCTCCATTTGGGCGCCTGTCCCATGGTCTGCAGGTGTACATGGGCCTTGGGCTGCGTGGGCTTCCTTCTGCGCCGCCCCTGGCTTGAATTCACACAGATTGCTCCCGCATGCGGTGGGCTCTCCGGCTCCCTGCTGCCCTTCTGGGCCGCACGGACTCTCTGCTGGCTGGTCTTGGCTCTGGAAAGCCTCTTCGTCTGCTCTTCCCAGTAATGTCGTCGTCAGCTCCAGGATTTCAGGCTTTTCCTCAACCTGCCGCTCCTCGGCTTTCATCCCAATCCTGCCGGCTGCTGAAAGAAAGAGAGAATCCAGACACTTACTCAGCTCATGCAACGGAGTCAGTCCGAGATCCTCGAGTCAGGAACGGAAACTCAGCGGGGATGCTCCTGGGAAGGAGATTTGACCTAGTTTGGGGTTTGGTAACCACGGAGGGCACAGGGACGCGTAGGAGGAATCAAGCCTGCAAGCAAACTGCAGCCTCCCTGTGTCAGGACTGTGCTGCAGTTTTTTATTCTTTTTTAACACTAGAAATCCAGGAGCATCAAACCTCTGGAAGGCAGCCTGCCTTCCCCACCCTGAACAAAGCTCTCCAGCTTAGCCGAGCCGCAGAGAGGCTTTACAAAGTGCTGCTTCGCCAACCAGCAGAGCGAAGGGTTCAACACTCAGTAATGGCCCTATCCTGAGAGGGGCTACAGGGGCCCAAGGACCTTCCATGCAAAGTGCAGCACTTCGCAGGCCTGGGCACGTGATGCCCCACGCCAGCCAGTGAGCCAAGCGTCATCACACACCGAGCTAGCAGGCCTACAAGGCAGAGATGATGGAGAGTCATGTATTCTAGTCTCAGTGCAGATGAAAACGCGTGCTCAGGATAGATAGGGCAGACCGCCTTCCTGATTTTCTTTTCGGGTGCTACTGAGGGGCACAGTTAAGGTTGTTTGCCCACCTTAACTGTGAGTTTCCATACAGGAAACCCAAGCGTTTGGGGTAAATATAACTAACTCAAGCTCCTGGATTTCTGGTTTGTGTTTTATACCAATGTCCCTGAAAGACCATGGCCACACTCCAGTGGCACAGCTATGGCGCTGCGCCTGCGCGGCTGTAGCTCCACAGGGTAGACCCTTCCTGCAGTGAGGGAAGAGGTTTTCCCACCGCTGTAGTGAATCCACTTCCCCAAGAGGTGTAGCGACGTCGAGAGCAGAATTCTTCCGTCGACCTAGCCGTGTCTACGTCTACCGAACTTGTAAGTGTGGCCCAGGCCCCAGCGCGAAGCACTTTGTGACGCCTGCTGGAACTCCCCCACGCCGGGGTGTGCAGGGATTTGGCTCCCCTTTGCCTGCGCCTGAGCCACGACACGTGGTTCCCCCACACGCGCCATCCAGGCCAACAGAGCAGGGTTGGAAATGGCATTGCCTGGGCAGAGGAGGGAGGGAACAGGAGGCTCTGTTACTGTTCACAGAGTAGCTGCTACCAAGCAAATGAAATGGCTTTAAACCCGCCCCCTTCGTCACTGGAGGTGACAGGCAATGGGGGCTCGCACACCAAAGGCTCTAGGAGGAATCACTTAGTGCAAATGCACCACCGCTCCCGCCGCAGTCAGTGGGAGCACCCAAGGCACCCAGTTTTGGAGAGCCTGGCCACAGAGCTCAAGTGAAATGTTGCCCCAAGTGAAATCACCCCCCCCCACACACACACATCCACATAGGACAGTAACTATCCCCTCAGTCCCCCGGTGGGCACCGAACTCCCCAGAGCCCTGAGTCAGGACAGCGTCCAACTCTGGGACAGCTCAGGCACCAGTCGGAAGTTAAGCGCTGCCCTGAACACTGATGGACTCAGGCACATAGAATCACAGAAGATGAGGTCTATTCCAACCGTAAGGAGGTCATCTAGTCCAACCCCCTGCTCAAAGCAGGACCAATTCCCAACTAAATCACCCCAGCCAGGGCTTTGTCAAGCCGGGCCTTAAAAACCTCTAAGGAAGGAGATTCCACCACCTCCCTAGGGAACCCATTCCAGTGCTTCATCACCCTCCTAGTGAAATAGTGTTTCCTAATATCCAACCTAGACCTCCCCCACTGCAACTTGAGACCATTGCTCCTTGTTCTGTCATCTGCCACCACTGAGAACAGCCGAGCTCCATCCTCTTTGGAACCCCCCTTCAGGTAGTTGAAGGCTGCTATCAAATCACCCCTCACTCTTCTCTTCTGCAAACTAAATAACCCCAGTTCCCTCAGCCTCTCCTCGTAAGTCATGAGTCCCAGCTCCCTAATCATTTTCGTTGCCCTCCGCTGGACTCTCTCCAATTTGTCCACATCCTTTCTGTAGTGGGGGTCCCAAAACTGGACACAATACTCCAGATGTGGCCTCACCAATGCCGAATAGAGGGGAACGATCACGTCCCTCGATCTGCTGGCATTGCTCCTACTAATACAGCCCAATATGCTATTAGCCTTCTTGGCAACAAGGGCACACTGCTGACTCATATCCAGCTTCTCGTCCACTGTAATCCCCAGGTCCTTTTCTGCAGAACTGCCTCTTAGCCAGTCGGCCCCCAGCCTGTAGCAGTGAATGGGATTCTTCTGTCCTAAGTGCAGGACTCTGCACTTGTCCTTGTTGAACCTCATCAGATTTCTTTTGGCCCAATACTCCAATTTGTCTAGGTCACTCTGGACTCTATCCCTACCCTCCAGTGTATTTACGTCTCCCCCCAGCTTAATGTCATCCATGAACTTGCTGAGGGTGCAATTAATCCCATTATCCAGATCATTAATGAAGATGTTGAACAAAACCGGCCCCAGGACTGACCCTTGGGGCACTCCGCTTGATACCGGCTGCCAACTAGACATCAAGCCATTGATCACTACCCGTTGAGCCCAATGATCTAGCCAGCTTTCTGTCCACCTTATAGTCCATCCATCCAATCCATACTTTTTAAACTTGCTGGCAAGAATACTGTGGGAGGCCGTATCAAAAGCTTTGCTAACATCAAGATATATCATGTCCACTGCTTTCCCCATATCCACAGAGCCAGTTATCTCATCATAGAAGGCAATCAGGTTGGTCAGTCATGATTTGCCTTTGGTGAATCCTGATCACCTTCCTCTTCTCCAAGTGCTTCAAAATGGATTCCTTGATTTTTCCAAGGACTGAGGTGAGGTCTGTAGTTCCCCGGCTTCTCCTCCTTCCCCTTTTAAAAGATGGACACTCTATTTGCCTTTTTCCAATTGTCCGGGACCTCCCCCGATCACCACAAGTTTTCAAAGATAATGGCCAATGGCTCTGCAATCACATCCGCCAACTCCAACATGCTGGAGGGCTTGACCCCATATCCAAACAGCTGGTGGATTAATACCCAGAGCCCCGTCCGAGTGAATGTTCCTGCTGGTCCCCGAGCAGCGCTCACCCTGGGGCACCCACAGTGCAAAGAGCAGGATGCAGATTTCCAGTGCATGTGTCCTGAGCCTGCCAACCCCGACTCACAGGTGACTTCCCATTGGGCCAGGGACCTGCAGTTCCCACTGACAGGTTGTGGTCCATTGACTTCCAGGGGAACACTCCGGGAAGTGATAAATGGGCAAGGATTTGCAGGACTGGGCCCACAGTCATCGCAACTAAATGGGCAGCTCCTGCCAGTTTCTGCACACCGTCAGCTCTCGCTGGCTGCACTGCGTTAGCGGCATGCCTGGAACATGGGGCGTTCTCCGGTGCAGGCAGGTGAACTACCCCGCTCTCCCCAGCTCGGTAGTGCTGAAGATGGCACAGCTTCCCGTCTGCTTCTCAGTGGCAGGGGCTGGGAGGTGACTGTCTGCCCCCAGGGCTCCTTAGTGTGGTGAACGGTGCCGGAACAACAGTCTTGGAGGCTGCAGTATGTGCTTTATCCACAAAGCAGGCACGGCACGGCACGGCACCCGTGCAAACTTCCTTCGCCACACAAGGGCGAACGGAGCTGTCTCCAGGGCCTGTCTAGTCCGTGGCTTCTGTGTCGGATTAGAGATGGGGCCATCTGTCCTCCACTACAGGGCACTTCGGCCGAGGCCCCTGTACAAGTTTGGGTGGCCAGGGTGGCACGGGAGCCAGGTGCACAAGGCGAGAGCTCCCCCATGCCCGGGGATCTCAGCTGGCCCGACCTGGCTGCTTTTTGCCCCCTTCGTGCCGCCCGAACACAGGGGTGCGCAAAGGGACCCGAATGCACCGGCCCGGCTGGCTTGTGGGGTGTGACTGAGGCTGTTCCCACAGCGAGCGACGCCCCCTGCTCGGATTCTCAGTGTCGTTTATCCTTCCCCGTGCTCAGGAGCGGTGGCTGCTCCTCCCAGGGGGTGCTGGCCCCGGTAGTGCTCCGACCCAACGCATTCCCCCCCACGGAGCTGGGGGAAGCCCTGTCCCCGCACTCTGCACCGATGGTTTCTCTACAGGACTCGGGTGGGCAGCAAACCCCTCCCCAGGGACTCTATGCCTGCAGGGTCTCTGCCTCGCCTGGCCCAGGGCCGGCTGGCACCTGGGTGGGATGGAACAGGTGTCACTTGGGCACAGTAGGGGGCTGGCTCGCCAAGCCCAGCTTGGGCCGGTGCAGCCTGAGAGGCCCTGGGTCCCCGCGGCCAGCCCCGCGGTGCCCTCGGCAGGCTTGTGCAGGAGACGAGTCCTCTGGTGCTCTGCCAGGCTGTCCTGGCGGGCAAAGCCCCGCCCACACCGAGTGCCCTTGGAGGGACCCACTGGTGCGTGGCCAGGTGGCACAGGCGGACGAAGCTCCTCCTGCACTGGTGGGGCAGCCCTCCATGGCGTGCACCCACTGGTGCTGCGTTTACTCCTCAGGGACAAAGCCCTGGCTGCAGGCAGCACACATGGACTTGTGCTCTCAGAGGTGGGTCTTCTGGTGAGCCAGCAGTGTGTCCCGCTGGCTGAAGGCCTTGCCGCAGGCGGGGCAGGAGAAGGGCTGCTCGGCCGTGTGGGGCTCGGGGGGGAAGAGCAGGGGCCGCTTCTTGCGGAAGCGCTTCCGGCACTCGGCGCAGGTGAAGGGCAGCTTGCCCGGGGGCATGTGCTGGTGCTGGAGGCAGCACTGAATCCGGCCGACGCTCTTGCCACATTCCCTGCACTTGGCGGGCTTCTCCGCCAACAGGCTCTTCTTGGGGCTTAGCAGCAACTGCTTCTGCCCCAAGCACTTCCCACGCACGGGACACGGGCTGGGCCGCTCGCCCCCCACGGCTCTCTGCTGGCCCCCGGCCGCTCGGAGCTCCCCAATGCCCCTCTTGCCCTGAGCCGACCGTCCCAGGATGCTTCTCTGCCGAGCCGCAGGGCCCTCGCCAGGGCTCTGGACCACGGTCCCTTTGGACGTTGCACAAACTGCCCTGGGGGGGCTTGGGCCCTCGCCCCCCTCCTCCGCACGATGCTCCTCTGCAAGTTGGAGCGGGATCTCACCTGCTGGGGCAGAAGAAAGCAGCCATTATTCACATCACCTGCCAGGGAGGGAGGGAGGGAATTCTGCGATTCAGGGGCTCCTGCTTTGGAGTCAAGGCCCATGAAGTTGGCCGTGGGGAGCGAGCTGGGACACTCATCGAGGTGCTGGTTTACCGGCCCGGGCTCTGCAAATTCTTTCTTCCCCTAGAGAAGGGCTGAGGGGAAGTTTTCCCCATCTCACTGTCTGAGGTGCTGGGGTCGGACCTGGGCCTTGATATCACCAGTGATGAGGCTGCTTTGAGCTACTCTGGGCTTGCAGAGCAGCCTCACCTGGCCTGCTGGGAATTTCCCAGGTGGAGAAACGGTGGAAGGGCCAGGCCTACGCCACCCCCCCGGCAGAGGGGCCGTGCTGGAGGGGGATGGGAGGGGCCCGATGATACCGGCGGCCCGTTTGCAGTCGCAATGCGCTGGAAGTTGGCTCTGACCAGCTCCTTTAGCCCCTCACTGGTTCCGAGCTGTTGCTCTCCAATACTCACCTGCGCTGGGCTCTCCAGGGAGCCCCCTTTGCTCCAAAGTCGGTTGAGTCCCAGCACACGCCTCCGGCTCCGGTTTAACCCAGGGGGAACGGTCAGGCGCAGGAGCAGGAGATTCTGTTCCCAGGGAAGAGCAGGCTGGGAATTAGCAGACGGTTTCTAACATCCTGGAAGGGGCTCCCGACAGAGGTGGAGGCAAGAGAAAGGGGTTTGAAGGTGGAGCTTGTATGTTTCTGAATGGGACGGGTTAGTCTATCCAGGGTTAAATGCACTTGACTACAGACAATCTGGTTTTGCAGGTTTCGTAAAGGGCAGGCACTTCTCAGTTGTGGGAAGGCGTGAAAGGAGGAGTTCAACCAGCCGTGCCTGGCACCAGGGGACGCTTTGCTGGAAACATTAAACCGGAACCATAGCCGATGAAGTCAGAAGGAAAATTCCTTGCTCAACTGGCCCAGGCCAGAGAAAGGACAACTCCAAACTGCCTAATCCCTGGCTATTAGCGAAGAGAATAGCCGGCGATAGGACATCACTTGTTTGTGAGAGGGTATGAAGGGATGAGCTTCTAAAGGGTTCATTAGCGTGTCTGCCTGTCCAAGCGGGAGCCGCCAGCGTGGGTTTGAGCACCCCGGGGCCTACTCCTTTTTGTGAGTATCCTTCGTCAACATCTGTACAGGCTTATCAAGGTTCGTCATTGTCTGGATGTGGCAACTCCTGGCTAGTGCGGCTTTTAGCCACGTTTGGAGCAACTGTACAAATTCCGCTTGGATTTAATACGGACATTTACGGCTCAATTAGTATCTGGTGCCACCCTGAAAAATCAGGGCTATAAACAAACTTCCAGCAACGGGTTCCATGCTGGGGTGGCCTGCGATAGCGGGGACTGGACTCCGGGTCCCAGAGTCCCTTCCACTCCTGGGGGATTACGTTCCAGTTTGGTTTCTACTCCCACTTCCCCCCGAGTTGGGGGTTTAAAGCCGGCACTGGCTCTTGCTGGAGGAGAGAAGACACCTCTTTCTAATGGATACAAAGGTGTTGGTGAGGCTCAAGAGGAAGCAGAAAACGAGGGGCTAAGACCAGTGGTCAGACTATCCAAAGAGGGAAAGGGGGAGGGGCTCTGGGGGGTGGCAGGGCCAGGAGGGGGCGCGACCGGCTGGCTTGCGGCCTGTAAACTAACACCACGTTAGGGAAGTTGAGACCAGACGAGCAGAAATGGTAAAACGGTCCGGCTGGATTCCCCGCTCGTCTCCTCACGCCCTGTGCCCAGAGCTCTCGGCTGCTACTCACCAGGGCTGGGGCCTGCAGGGGTTCTGCCTTCTCCACAGACCGGCCGATCCTGCCCACACGGCTCTTCCTCTCGTTTAACCCAGGACGCGGCATCGGGGGGGACAATCGGAAACTCTGTTCAGGGCAAAGAGGATTACACCGTTTTCCCCGCTCTCGGCCGGAGCCAAACACCGAGCTCAGGCCCCACCACCTTCGCTGTGGACCCCTCCTCCGCCCCAAGACAAGTTCGGCGATTCCAAAGGGGGGGATTTGCTGAACAGCCAGAACACTAAGGGACACCCCCGCCCTGCTGGGCTTCATGAACGCAGAGCACGTGCACTAACGGCCAGACGGGCCAGGCTCCCACGCTGCAGGCAAGGGAGCGAGACAACATCCTCTCTGCACGCAGGGCAGGTCCCGTCCCAGCTCCTGAGCAGAGGGGCTGCTCCCTGCCAGCCCCCACCGGGGCACTGCCAGCCCCACACGAGGCGAGGCGACCGCAGGGCATTGCTAGTGAAAGGCAGGGGGACAAGCCAGCAGAAGTCGGGTACAGCAATGCAGAGGTGGGAGCCAGGCTGCCCAGAGGGTAAGAAAACTGCTGCTGGTCCGTGGAGACGGCTGGGCACAGACATAACAGCTCCGGTTTGATTACTGCAATCGCCAGCTCCGAGACGGCGAAATCCGTTACTCACCCGAGCAGGGGCTTCCACTGATTTCGTTTTCCCCAGAGTCCCCTCGGCCCCCGCAGCCCGGATTCTCCTCCTGGTTAATCCACAATGAAATGTCTGGTGCAGAGACGGGGGATTCTGTTCACAGGAAAGAGAAGGGCTCAGATTTTCAGAGGGGCCTAGGGGAGTTGGGCACCCAGTTCCAATGGACTGTCAGTGGGAGGTGGGGGCCCAAAGTCGCTAGGCTGCTTAGCCAACCCAGCCAAGGCTATTAAGGGTACGTCGACTTTCGAGCTGGACGTGTAGCCGTGGCGGTGGGAGGGGCTGGCTGCCCCAGGTACATCTGTAATGGCTCAGATGAGATCGTACGCGGGGCAGCTCGTCCCTCCCTCCGTGCGCCCCCACCGCTACACTTCTCGTTAGCTGCTCGTTAGATCAGAACTCCCGCGGGTACGGCTCCTTGGCTGGCACTTCCCCCTTCCAGCCAGAACGCAGACACACCCTGCCTGTTTCTCCTCCCCGCTGAGAGCTGGGCCCAGGAGCGTCACACCCATCTCCGCCCAGCACCGTGTTTCAGAGGGGGCCCGCTCGGAACAGACGCTAGCGCGGCTCGGGGGGGAGGGGAAATGGAGGGCTGCAGACGGGTTTGATGCCAGAACGGTCAGGAAGGGGGAGGGGAGTTGAGGTGGGACGGGGGGAGAGCTGCAGATGGCACTGGCCGGGGACAAGGACAGAAATGCACGTCTGGGGAGGAGCCGCACGTTCTGAGAGCTTGCTAGAACTTCAGCTTCCCTTTGCTCTAGTGGTTCCCCCGGGGGCTGGGCGAGCCTGTCCGCTCTCAGAGCCCGTTCAGCACGCGGGACGTTCTGCAGCACGCAGGCTGCCAGGGTTCAATTGTGTCACTGCCCCTGGGTTGTTCCAGGCTTTGGGATCTCAAAGGAGCTTTTCTCACTTGCTCCTTCCAGAGAGGTCTTCTCTCTTCTCCCCGCCCTGCCTAACCTGGGGGGCAGCCAGGGGAAATCCCGTGCCACAGGGTATCTGCTCACAGTTGGTCAAACCAAACTAGGGGGAGGGGGGAGAAAGCGGTTTCAAGATCCTGATCCGGATTTGTGGCTTCATCCCATCACTGCTCTTACCCGCTGGCTGGGATTAGATTAAAAAAAGCAAAGAACAGGAATAAAACACACACAAGACGCTCAACCTCCTGGTGCAATCTCAGGGATTTGGGGGAAGCAACGTCCATTTCGCCCGAATTCCCCCAAATGTTCTCCTGTCCCTGGCACAAGTGTCAGAAAAGTGCCCACTGAAACAGAGGGAATGAAGGAGCTCGTGAAGCTTTCATTGGATAGAGCCATTTAACTTCACACCTTGTGCGCGTTCGCCAGGCAGTCACACCTCCAGCACCGGGAATGCCCCGGCAGCCAGTGGAACGACCACTGGGAACCCAGCTGAAGCGAGAGGCCTCAGGGCTCATTTCGGAGCAGTTTCAATGTACCTGGGCTGGGGTCTGCAGGGATCTCGCTCTCCTCTGAACGACCTTGATCCCCGACACACGGCTCCTCCCCTCGTTCAATCCGGGACAGGAGGTCAGGTTTGGAGATGGCATAGTCTGCAGATGGAGAGAGACGCTCCAGGGTTTGAGTCACACAGTAGGATGCTCATTACAGATCATGATCAGTGGTTTTAAATACCGAACCCCCGACTGCTGGGGGTGACAGGCGATGTGAAGAGAAGCTGCACTGTTACAGGGATACCCTGCACGGGGGCGGGCGCTGTTCCTCTGATGGGTGGGACTCTCTGATTCTTCCCAAGGGAAGGGGCTGCCATGGGCACAGGAAGT